TAAATTTGTAATTTTTTTGGATATTTCCCCCATTTGCGGGGAACGAGGGAATTTTTTTCAATTTTTAAGGGTAATGTCTTCAACTAGATACGATTTGTGATCTTTTGACGTATTTTTGAAAGAAATCGGTCCAGTGAGAGCTGAGAAAAAGTGGCAACAGACATAAAAAAAAAAACACATAGTAAAATTAATACCTTCTCCGCTTTGCATCGAAGCTAAAATTGAAAAAATGTCGAAAATTAGCGATTTAAAATTTGTAATTTTTTTGGAGATTTCCCCCATTTCAGAGAACGAGGGAAAATTTTCTAATTTTTGAGGGTTATGTCTTTGATAAGATATTTTTTTTATTTGATTTGACATATCGTTGAAAGAAATCGGTTTGGTGAGAGCTGAGAAAAAGTGATAACAGACACAAAAAAAAAATAAAAAAGAATACATCATAATAAAATTAATATCTTCTCAGCTTCGCATCGAAGCTAAAATGTAAAGATGGTCTATAGTATTCTTTGACAAAAACACATATATAAACCAACTGTAAGAAATTTAATTTAGAATAATAACAATTATAAATTAGTATTCTCAATAGTTAAAATTTTATATTAAACTAGTCTTGACTCTCATATTAAAATGATAACTTTATGCATTAAATTTACATACGAATACAAATGACTATCAAATCCAGCTGCTCCTTTATTATCTCCAGGTATACTTCCATCATCTTGAGCTATCGCTTCAAATTCACTTCTTGATGCACAACATTCTTCAATAACCATCTTAGTTCTTTCAAGCATATCTTGCCTTCCTGGTTTATTACTGCTATTTGTTGTTCTATAACCTACAACATTAAATTCATTTTATTTTTATTTTTTGAACATTTTATGTACTAACCCAGAGGAGTATTGGTACAAAAATACCAGGTATCTAACCAATAATTTTCTATTTCATAACTGCTAGTAAATTCATATAGTCGGCGTTCGTAAGTTATATCAGATACTCGATAATAACTTGGCTCACTTTGAACAGTATTTAACAAACTAGCACGTCTATTTAAATATGCATAAATCTAAAAAAATATTTATTTAGTTAACTTAGAAAATTAAAGATGCACTGAAGTGTAATACAGTGTTTGATATTGAGACATAGGAATCGCTCTTTTCAATGACTCAATTTTTTTTTTAGCATATAAATATAATAAAATTATAAAATAAAATGGCCTTTTTATTTAATTCTATAGTTTTAAAAATATAAAAACTATTATAGTTACTAGTTCAGTATCCTTGTATGTTTTTGGACCAAACTGTAATAATCCAATGGTACACAATAAACGTAAAACACTTAAGGTATTTTGAATATGTCTAAAATATTAAAATTATTAACACTAGAAACAATTTTGATAATTATTAGGTTATACTTTTTTAATCCTTGTGATAATATATTACGAACTTCTGAGGACAAAGTCATAAGAGGTAAGTATTTAAAAACAGGATGAGTAGCATAATTTACAAGTTTTTCTAAATTGACTTTTGTTTTGTTAAAATTAACAATTTTTAACATTAAGTCTAATGGCATATGATGAATTATGTCACTAACAAAAAACCAGCCTTCAGGGTATTCTATATAACAGGAAACATATTTATTTATGCATTTAAATATTTTATTAAATATGTTAAACTTTATTTTACTTGGATATTTAGGTAATGGTGGTACAAACATTTTCCAACCAATTGTTGGATTATAAACTATAGGTATTTGAACTTTATCACTTTGAATCAAGTCATTCTTGTAACTTAAAACAGTTTTTTCCGTTTCTTCACACGCATTTGTTAAACTTGTTCCAGGGTGTTCGTACACAATATAAAATAAATACTCATGTAATGATCTCATTTTCATAAACCTGGGTAATTTCAAATCAAATATGTCCTAAAAATGTTTTTAAAATTAAAATTTAATGATTTTCACTTTTTTTGTTAAATTATTCCAAATACATCATCAGCCAGTGTTTTTACTATATGTATTAATATAATTGAAAATTTTGTTATGTAATCTAACTGGGATTACAGTGTTAGGGTTAATTAAGAGGTATATTCCTCCCTAAAACTAAAAATATTTTTTTATGCTACTATTTATTTTAACAACAAATTTATATTAACTGGGATCTTTTTAAAATGACTCAAACAAAATTTATAAATGCATATAAATGTGCTCTATAATAAAATTAATATTTGTACGAATCATTTTTATTATTATTTACTTTTTTTTTTTTAATTTTTAATATTTTTGTGAAATTTTACTTAGTTAACTTTTTATTATAAATAAATTTTTTTAGATAATCAGAGACGAATTTAGGAAGCATATGCCTAGAGCATTAAAATTGTATAGTTTTTTTTGGAGCGTGTTTAAAAAAAAAATTATTTAACTTATGTCTACAACAAATTAATTAATTTAATAAATAGCTTATATACCTTTAGCTTCAAACATCAACACAGACATTATTTGTTAAGTAAAACAAAAATGTAATGAAACTGTCTTTTTTGTTAAGGTTTTTCAGATCTCTTGTAATAACTACAGTACAGATTTTTAGGTTTTTTTAAGTTTGAAATATGATACTAATATGCACTAAAAATCCTCAAATTATGCTCAAAAATAATAAAGATATTTAATTTTTTTTTAATATACTTTATATACGAAAGTTTTAATTAAATATATATTTTTTGATTGTTGTTTAATTTTATAAACATATTTTTAAAATATGTAAAATAAGACATTTTATTTTAAATTTGGTAGTTGATAAATTGTCAACATTTTTTACCTCAATCAAGCTGCATAAATTCAATATGTCAATACCTAAATATCTGCACTCTATTGATAAATAGTTTATTTTACTTTAAGTCCTTGTATTATACTGCCAACTTACAAAATATTGATAAAATAGCTAAAAGATTTTTTCTAGAAAATATAATTTATAATGTCTTAGTCTAATTGTTGCATTAATATTTTAAAAATTGATGAGCACAAATTTTTTATAGGATGGCAGTATACTTCAAAAATTATAACATAATTTTAATTGGTACTAACAATTTTCGGTTCTGGCGATTTATACACCATTAGGTTCCATTTTTTATTTGCTTTTTTTGTTTTCATTTTATTGTTGAATTTATTTAAGAAGCTATTCATGTAAGAAATAATATCAGGCTGACCTGAAAGTATATTTGATTTTAGTGGTAAATTTCTATTATAAAATATTAAACGATTATAAGTTATAGAACATTTTTAATTTGTAAATTAATAAATCATGATTTATATTAAAACAAATAAAGTAACTATTAAATATCAAATCATTAAGATATAACAATTTACTTACTGAAATCAATATCAGGAACACCAATAAATGTTTGATTTATAGTTTTATTGCCATAACTGACTTTATATAATACTGATTTCAATCTACCTTTTGATTCAAAGTATCCAAGAATTTTAACTAATGTTTTTATATCAAGTGTTCCAATAAATTTTGGATTTTCTTTTTCAGTATTAATAATAGTCTACATTAATAAAAATAAAATATATATATATATTATAAATTATTAAAGTCAAATAAATTGTTTAATAAACTCACTTTTTTTAAGTTTACTAAGCTGATTACACTATCTGTATTTAATACACTGAATATAATTTGCTGACGAAAAAAAAAACGATCAGTCATAAAAATTGTTTGCCTAATAAAAAGTTAAGAAAATTAAACTTTCTCCAAAAAGTTTACATTTTGTTTGTCACAAATTCTACTTAAAATTATTGTTATAAATGGAAAATAGTAATGGGAAAATTTATGTAATTTTTATGTAAAGGACAATTTAAAAGAAAATAAATTACTCACTTAGAATTCTCATACAACTGTTGACAATATCCTACATCCATTGTTCTTGTTATTTGCTGTTCTAAGTCATTAGACAAACCATCGTCATTCTAAAATATATAGTGAACGTTTAGATTTAAGCAAAATTAATCAGCTTACGGAAAAAATTATTTAGAAAAACTATATTATTATATTACTATTATAACAGCAAGTAGTCTACAATTGCAAACACATTCTCTCAATTTTAGTTTACCTAACTTATAAAGAGAATTTTCTTGGAAAGGAATTTATTATTGGAACTTTGTTAAAATTTAGTACGCTAGTCTACTCTCTGCATTTATTAAGTAGGTACCCTGAATTCAATGAAGTTACTTAACACAAAAAAGTACTCAAAAAGTAAGGAAAATGGTTTCCCTTAGTCATAACAGTTTACTTGATTTCCTACTGATTTAACACATAAATAATATTAATAAAAAATAAATAAAATACTTAACTATGAAAATCACAAAATTTTTTAGTGTTATTATTTGTTAAGAGCTTATAATGATAGATAATTTGGTTGTCTAAATACATATTCACAGATTCTTACTAAAAATATTTTTGTGGCTTTCAGAGTAGCTTTTAAGTATTTTGAATATTTTTAAATAGTATTAGCCACAAGTTTATTAATTTTTATTGTGTTTATAAATACCTAAGAAGTTTAATAAGCATAACAATTCAATCAATTTAATAGAAGATAATATAATTATAATGAAACATCATAGAGTTATAGTAATTTATAGTTTAAATTTAACATTAAAATAAAATTTTATCATTTAATAATTTTAGTAGAAGGAAATTTCATTGGATGGATTATATTTTGATCTTTTTTAATTTCAAAACAAAATTTTCTTTTGTTTAAATTCCTATATATATTATAGTCTTACAATAAAAAAATTTTTATGCTAAATAAAGAAATTTTTATACCCTGAATGAATCATTTCTATCCACAAAAGTTTTTGAGTAAAATTAATATTGTACATCTAATTATGGTTATCTAATAGTACCCACCAATTTTATAAATATAAGGGTAAGAATTTAAATTTCATTATATTATAATGTAATTTATATTAAAACAAATAATCTAAATAAATAGTTAAATTATACAAATATATGAAATTATTCAGACTTCACTATATCAATATCAACATAAACTATACTTTAGAAATTTCTTAATTTAAATTTATAATTTTTGTAAGTGTTATATGTTCTTATTATTTAAAAAATAAATAGGTTGTAGATAATAAGAAAAATATTACAACATAATTTACAAAAATAAAATTAATCAATAACATTCCCTTTAATTGTTTTAATGAATTATAATTTATTAAGTAATAAATTATAATAATATATTTAAACATTTTTAAAAAGCCTTTCAAAGTTGATTAAATAATTATCAAAAAATAATATAAAATCAATTTTAACTTAAATTTTTATAATTGTTTAATATATGATGGTCAATAAAACTATTTTTACTGAGTAATGTTGACACTTACTAATATTACTTTGTTGGGTAATGATATTTTAGTTGAAACATTTGAACTGTTTACTTCAGTTGTAGTTATATTTTCAAAACTATTATCCAAATTTGTAATACTATAATCATTTTTATCAATTTCATTACTGTTGATACATTGATTAATATTACTATTAACTAATGTAGTATTTTTAGTATCATCATTAGGAGTAATTGAAGTCGTATCATTTAATGTTGTATCTTGTAATAAGTTTTGACTATCCATAAGTGATTCCTCTGTAACTAATGCAATAACACTTTTTTCCAAAAAAATATTTTCATTTTTAACTGATGTTGAACATTTTATTTTTGCAACATAACTGCAAATAAAATTTTTCTTTGATTTGTTCATTTTGGAAAAAAAAAACAATTTTTAACTCTTACACATGAACTTTAGCACGACCTCGATCACAATAATGTTTACTAAGATAGTTTGATTTTATCAGTAATTTCAAAATATTATCTAAGTTACCATCTGAAGTAAATCGAAAAACACGAGAAATATCTGAAAGAGTAGCACCATTATCACCTTGGTTTTCAATCCATCTAAGTATTTGTCTATCAAAAGCAGCATCCCTTTTAAATTCATGACCTAAAATTAATATTAGATAAAAAAAACAATTTTAATTGTTCAGTTGATAACGTCTTGTGCCTCAGTAAGTACCGAGATTAAATTTTGTTATACTGGACTTTCTAAATTACCTCTCAAATAATAGCATTTAGAGAGGACATTAAACATATAAATAAATAGTAGTAATAACAATTATTATTTTAGCTGGTAAACCTTTAATTAATTTTTTGTAGGGCACTTTCATTACCTTTAATGTCTAATTTTTTTTCTATTTGTAAATCTTGGTTTTTTGTTTCATATTCTTGTTTTAATTGAATACATCTTAATGTTCTTTCAACCTTTGGATCTTTTTTATTTATATATTCAGTCTTGGTAGCATTTGGATATAAGTCTCTATAATTTAGTTTCTGAAATATTTTCATAAAATAAAATTTTAGATTAATACCGTCAAATAATGGGCCGACTCCAAGTAGTTGGGATTAAGGCAAGGAAGAAGACCATCAAATAATAATTTTTCAATAGGCTTTTTTTAAAAAGATTAAATGAGTTCCACAATTAATTAATAGTGAAACCTTCAAAAATTTATGTCAATATAATGTCATAATTTTAAAAATAAAAATGCATTCTATTCATTTTAATTTTTAATTAAAAACTATTTCAGTCATTATAAGTATTTAATATAAAAAATAATGTCATTAGTAAAATATGTTACATTTTTAATACTGAGACACTGTTTTCTAAAAACTCATAAAAATAACATTACTTACTAGATTAGTGTTACAAAATTTTTTTAGTTGTGGTTGCTTAAATGTTTTTGCTAAGCTAACACTACATGTGCTTTTAACTTGATCATAAGTAGCTATTTGATTAGGCTGTTTTTTTAAAAATTCTACAATTTTTTCTACCATAACTTCAATTACAGATTGTTGTTTTACAAAAAATCTTATTAAACTTGAAATAACAACACGATTTCCCATTTGAGTTTTTGTACCAGCATATGCTACTATCTAATAAAATATATAAGTATAATACTACCATAAATAAATATAGACATTTTTTTAACAAACTTGATTTTTTATTAATCCATCAAGAGTTAATCGATTTCTTATATAAGATAATGCTTTTGGATCAGGAAATATGCTCCTTAATGAATGAGTTCCATGAGAAGCTTCTCCCAAATATCGTGCACGACCTATTTTTTCTAAAACTAAATAAGACCTCACTGGTAGTTTTAGAGAAAATTGTTTTTCTTCTGGAATTAAAGCTTTTGTGCGAACTTCTTGGGAAGCTACAATAACCAAACAATTATTCCACCTAAAAAAAAATAAGAGTACATAAACTGGATAACTTATCACTTTAAATGATTTAAACAACAAACATTGTTCTAATAATAAAATAAATTTAAATAAAAAAAATTGTTTTTTTATAATATACCGTTTTTCTACTTCTTCAACAGTTATTTTTCTTGGAAATGTTCCAAGATTAAATCTTGTGAAATAGTCTTTACAAGAACCCATAATTAACCCATCTTCAATACAATGATTTGGATATATATCTTTTGGCGTATCTTTCTAAAATGAGCATTACAAAATAAAGAGAGTATAATATAAGTTACACAAACTATTTTAAAGCATTACAGGTTCATATATTGATCCAAATTGACCGTGGATGTACTCATATCTGTTATATATGACTAAAGGTTCCCTAGGTTCATTGAGTCTATAGAACTCAATATTTTTCAAACATACTACAATGGACCAAATTATCGTTTTCACTGATTCATTGATAGGTTTTATTGGCCAATCATTACAAATTGACAGTCTTGTGCATAACGCTATAAACAAATTCAAAAATTTACTTGAAAAATAAATTATTAACAAAAATCTTTTTCTATTGCATATTACCTTCAACAGTTATACCATCTAAACCTTCTAAAGCTATTTCATCAAGTACAATGGCACTTAAATCTCTTTGAAATCTTTGCATTTTATTCAAAATTCAGCATAATTCAGGTACCAAGTTAAAGAAAAAATATACGATAAAAAAATAAATCTATAACTAAAAACAATTAAAAATGTAAAATATATTTGGTTTTGGAGCAAATTGACAATCTCTCATCGCCTTAAAATTATTTAGTATTATTTATGTCTGACATAGTTAATACTATAACGGAAGATGTATAATTTTACTGAATATTCAAGCATATCACTAAATGAAACTGTTATCAATATATCAACTGGCCTTAGGGGAGATGCTATAAAACACCCAAATATTTTTCAGTTGAGAACACTTGATTGAAAAAAAATTTAGTTGATTGTATTCCAGCCGAAACAAATTATAACTAAATTTTTGCCAAATAATAATGTAACCTCTTATGAAAACTCATTTAACTAAACAACTGATCAAAAAATATTCCTAAGTTCAGTTTATAACAGGTTTTAAATACAATTTTCTACATTTTTAATACATATTGAAAATCTATAACATCTATTTATGTTAGCTAATATAGTCTGTGTTGTGTAACGTAGTACCTAGATAAAGTCAAAACTACTTATACAAAGTGAACTAAAAATGAACGACTTGATTAATCGAAAAATAAGAATAAAACCCATATAAAGGATAAGGGGTTAACATAAAAAACACTTCAAGAAACCAAATATATAAACAATATTATTCTTATTTTTCGATTAATTAAGTAGTTCATAATAATTAAATCACTCTGTATAAACTTCACTACAATATGTAATTTTATGTACAAGTAGAACTTGAGCCACTTTTCATAGTTATATTTTATGGGGAGTAATTTATTTTGAACAAAAAACTTAAGTCATAGCTAGCTCATTTATTAATTTTTTAACATGCTAAAGTTGTGCCAAAAACCTGAAAGTACAGAGGCCCCGGTACAATGTATTACGGGTGAAAATCCGGTTGGGTTTATATCGAAAAACAATTCCTTTTGAAAATTGTCCGTTTAGGGTTATTTTATCTTTACTGTATATATAAAATGCTAATGTATATACAAGTAATAAAAATATGAGTTTCGTAACATAGCAAGGAAATACTCTAACGGAATAGGAATTTATAAAATTTTTAATTAAAATTTAATTTAAAATTCAATCATCATAATTGTTTATTATTATGAATTTATTAATTTTAAGTTATTCTGAATATGTTATTGTTCAGTATAAATTTTTATTAATTTAATCTAATAAGTAATAAGTCGTTATAGATGTTAGTTTTGTGGGAGGTTTATTCCCCTTAAAGTAAACAATTATTTTCGCTTCAATATAAACATGTAACAAATTACATGAACTAGCGTTTATTTAAAGTAGATTGTATACAGATTATAAAGGCATATGAGTTCCGTGTTTTAATTATAATATAATTATTTGAAAAAGATGTTGTCGATTTATCAATTTTCGGTTAAATTATTGTTTGATGATTCAGCTGTAATATTAGTTTAGTGTGACCAGACGTCCGAATTTTTGTGGGACAGTCCCAATTTTCAAGCATATTTTCCGTTAAATATATAGATCAAAACGGGACAGTAAAATGTACCGGCTTTCAATCGACATCTCACTTTTATCCCGAATCTAAATAATAGTTATTTTTTTCTTATTTTCAGAATTTTATAATTTTTAAAAAGTCTCCTTTATTGCTCAAATCTATTGCATCAAATTATAAATACTAAGTACTAATAATTTTTTTATCTGTATTAAATATTTTATGAATTTTTTATTAAGTAGATTTTAATTTTGTAATTATACTATTTTGATTATAATTATAAGTTTAAATACGTGGAATACTTGTTATTTAAAATTACATTTTGTTTTTATAATTTTTTTGTTAAATATATAATATAATTAATTTTATTAAGGTATTAATAAAATAAATATTTTATGTTCAATGAAAAATTGATTTGAGTTTTGTTTTTTATGCTATTTTTATTATGATTTTTTTTTTTGTCATGTCTCATTTTAGCATAAAGAAATAAAGTTGTACCTAAAACCAATTATTAAGGGAGATTAACCACTTCTAGAAGTACTATTTTATGATAAGGGATATTCCTGTTCCTCTAGTTTTTTTTTAATACTTTTCCCGCTTTTATAGAATTTTGATCTGGTCACTTTACATTAGTTAGTTCAATTATGTTCGACTAAAATTATGACCGTAATCGTATCTGCATACGGTCGACTAAAATATTTTATCATAAAAAATACCAAAATGTTTTCAGCTTCATGAATATAATATTCGTATATAATAAATAAGAATATATTTGGTAACACTCTCTTCTATTATCAAAAGTAAAGTAACCGCTACCTTAACAATACTACATACTAAATGAAAATAGTCCGTGACAATACCAAACATTCACTTTACTTATAAGTAAGGTTATCAAAGTGGTAAGATAGGTATTCTGAAAAAATTACAATTTATGATCAGGATTTTCTATATTAAATTCAAAGTATTAATAGTTAATGTGTAATTTTTATTAATATGTTAAGTAATAATGACATCTGAAAAAAAAACAGTTCAAGGAAGATTACATACCGTGTATCCTTAATTTAAATTAGAATAAGATAGATTAGCTAGCGCATTCATGTTTCTTAATAGATTTAAGTTCGGCACTTTTTGCCGTAAGTACCATGCTACGACTTCTACAGTTAATGTGAGTAATTTGCAATCGGATGCATTTAACTCTATTAACACAGACCATACACCATTTGCCAAAAGCTTTTATGTAGGGAATTTTATGACGAGTGTTTTTTCATTGACNGATAGGTATTCTGAAAAAATTACAATTTATGATCAGGATTTTCTATATTAAATTCAAAGTATTAATAGTTAATGTGTAATTTTTATTAATATGTTAAGTAATAATGACATCTGAAAAAAAAACAGTTCAAGGAAGATTACATACCGTGTATCCTTAATTTAAATTAGAATAAGATAGATTAGCTAGCGCATTCATGTTTCTTAATAGATTTAAGTTCGGCACTTTTTGCCGTAAGTACCATGCTACGACTTCTACAGTTAATGTGAGTAATTTGCAATCGGATGCATTTAACTCTATTAACACAGATCATACACCATTTGCCAAAAGCTTTTATGTAGGGAATTTTATGACGAGTGTTTTTTCATTGAGCCAAAAACATGCAAGTGTTCCAAATAGTAAAAATTTGTTTGGTGTAATTGTACCTAAAGAATTTGGAGGTACAAAATTTTCTGCTGCTGAAATATCAGCAGCTTATAAATCTATAGGGTTGTCGCAATATAAACCTTATTTGGCACATGGAAGTGTAGTAAAATGTATATTAAAATATGGAACTGAAGATCAGAAAAATAAATATTTACCATTATTAGCATCTGGTGAAAATATTGCAACATATTGTTTGTATGAATCTGAACAGGGGTATGATATTCAAAATACTAATACTAAAGCTTCATTTCATAATAATCATTGGGTTATAAATGGGTCAAAAAATTGGGTTGTCAATGCTAAACAAGCAGATACTCTGTTAATAATAGCTAAGACAATGGATGAATGTAACAGACCAGAAAATAATATTCAGTTTTTCAGTGCATTTCTTGTTAAGAAATCATCAATTGGTATAACAGTAATTGAAAATGGTGATCATTGTGATGTATTATTTAATAACGTCAAAGCTGAATGTATGTTAGGTCCAGAAAATGAAGGTTTACTGTTGTATTCATTATTATTTAATTCAGATTTCTTAGAATCTGCTTCTGCTACAGTTGGTGAAATAAAAAAAATTACCAAAATTATTTCTCAAGATACAAGATTTAAAAATCCATTAAGTATTACCAAATTTGGTCATATTTACAGTAATCTGTTTTCTATGAATTGTATTTTAAATTTTACAAATTTACTATTAGATTCTCTTAAGGTAGATGATTATGAACAAATACTAGCACGATTATTTGTTACTAAAGCAGCTTATGCATGCATAGATTTATTTGATGATTTAGGATTACCTAAAGACATGTATGAACATATTCAAAATTCTTTATTATTTGATGGTAGAGGTAATTTACTTATATATGTCGGATCATTATTAGGAATTCAATATGCAGGACAGTTTATGGCAAATGATATTAAACAATTAAGAAATCCTTTGATGTTTCCTAAATATACATTAAATCATATTATTAAAATACAGAAATCTTTAAAAGACAAACCAAAATTAAGAAATTTTCTTGGTCAATATTTACACCCATCTCTAAAAAAACAAGCTTCTGATCTGGAATATTGTCTAAGTAGATTACAATTTGCAGTACAAAACATGTTCATTAATCTTGGACCGGATACATTTCATTATCAAATGGTGCTTGAACGAGTTAATAGTGTTGCTTTAAATATTTATGCTATGACAGCAATCTTACATTATGTATCGGAACATTTATCAAAATCTAACTCACAAATATACCCAACAGAATTAGTTTTCGCTAATGTTTTTTGTAACACTTTACGTTCTCAATGTAGTGAAAAAGTAAATGAAATATTAAATTCTCCACATAATGTGACTGATCCCCTTTATAAATCTCTTGCTCAACAACTATTTGTTGAAAAAAATTATTTTCTAGAACATCCTCTAAAAAGAAATATTTTTTAAATTTTATGTAAAATTAAAATAAAAGTTTTAGCTTGTATAAGTTATCTAGTAGTTAATGCCATTTTTGTTAAATTTTTGTTTGTTTCCTAAATATTATTACTTCAGAACATTAAATTTTGATGCAGAAACTGCTCATAAAGCCAATGCCATTTATCACGCTATTAGAGTAGAAAAAGAACCCAATAACACTGTTCAAAAATACTGTTGTGTTGAAGGAAGCTATGTCAAAATGTAAGTGTTTTATTACATAAATATTTTCAATATATATATATATATATATATATATATATATATTTAGTTAAAAAAAAACTAAATTTTCAGTATATTAGAATCACCTCAACTAAAAGCTCTACGTTCTAGTTCAAATGGTCTGCTGGATATTTTAAAACTTTTATCTGAAGTAACAGACAATTTTGATTTAAAATCACCTTCAATTAAGTATGATCACTTCTGATACAACTCATCAAAATGCTCCTTCACCCACTGAAAGTCGAGCAAACTATGGATTTGCCCTTTATTTAGCTTCAAAGACAGCATTTGTAGTATATTTAATATGGGCGTTTATTCCTAGTGATTGGTTAGCATTTATTGGATTAACTTATTTACCTCAAAAGTATTGGGCCATTGTTTTACCAGTATGGGTTTGCTGTGCCATCTTGATAACAATTTTGTTATATCCGGCTATAAATATGTTACTTGTTCCACCTATGAATGATTCCTCTATACTAACAGATTCATTTGCACTAAAACCTGTATCAGAAGTTTCTCCTGATGGAATACCTACAGTATCAGACCTTTCTTCTTCAGAAGTTTGTAAAACTTTGTACTTGAATTATCAATAAATTTACATCTTTCTATAAATATATTTGTCTGTTTTCTACTTTTATTTTTATCCTTAGCAAAGCTATCCTCAAAATAATTTTTTTTCTGACATAAATTATATTTAAGATGCTTACTTCTGGTTCATCAGTTTCAAAATTGGGAACTTACCTAAGAAGACAGCATATAAGTATACTAAAAATACTTTTTATAATACTAAAATTCAATAATAAATTAATAGTTATTAATTTTATTTTAAAATAAATAGAAAATATGTTAAATTTAGTAATAGGAGGTGTGGTCAATTTTTTTTTATCTTTTTTTAGTGGCTAAAATGAAAACCTCGTTTTACTTTATTCATTTAGTTACATGTTAGAGTAGAGTAATATAAATTAATTACTTTTATTTATGACAATTTTTTTAAGAGATTTATATTCTTTTTCAAATTTAAACAAAACTTTTATTTTTTATTTACTATGAACATAATATAAATGTATATTAAAATTTTAGTTATTTTTTTATAGTAGTAAATTATAACATAGACATTTTCATAAAGTAAATTATTATTGAGGAAACCTTTAATAATTTTTATTGCAAACAGATTTGTCTGTCTTTTGAATAAAATTTACCATAAAATTAAACCATTAATGTAAACAAGTGTAAATTTAGGTAGTAAGTCTAGTCATCAGTGGTGATACGCTTTAGAAATAATAAAAACGTGTGAGTAACTATTCATTTTATTCATGGCTGTAATTAGATTTTTAAACTAGAATTAAAAATGTATTTAATTTTTCATAAATATGTTAATAATTTTGATTAATAAATCATTTTTAAATAAAAATATTTTTAAGTTTTAAAATTAATTAATACATTAATCCCACAAATGAAACTTCATAATAATTAAAAAGTAATACTTGAATTTTAATAAATTACATGAGATTTAAAACTTGTATAATACCTAAAAAATAAATGGAATAAATGAATCTATCTTCCATAAAATTCAATGTACCCTGTTTCTTTTATGTTTATATATTTTCAAACAAATATTTTCTTTTTTCACAATGCATTTGTTAACCAGTCTGAAATAATTATTTCATGCTGTTCTAACCATTTAATGTTATTAGACACAGCTTCAAGAGCAGTTCTTCGACCAGCTGCTCCAGCGCCAGCTTCTGGGTATTTAGAGAAAAATTCTTTCATCTGAATTTGAAAGCAAGAATCCATAAAAACTTTAATGTTATATTTAAAATTAATATTAAATAAATTATTTTACCTCTTCAAGGCGTCTTGGAGAGTTAAATCGTGCACACACTGAAGGAATGAGTCGTCCAAATGCACGGTCATTAAGAGTGAAACGATCAACTAAATATTCCCATTCATCTCTAGTAAAAATATGTTAATTGACGTCTTAATTATACTGTGTTCAAAACATATATTTTATTTTTACCTTAAAAAGTCCCATAATAGTAGTGAACCTACTGGATTGTGTCCAATATTAGTTAAAAGGATAAAATAATCTTGAGAACGGACACAACTTTCATTCTTAGCCATTTGTATCAATCTATTAATTATTATTGTTAATTAAAAGTATTGTAAAGAAAATCAAGTAACTTTAAATTAATAAACTGCAACAATATTTAATTATATTACCTGGTTAATATCCATGGTTCTTTAACTGCAGTTAAAGCATACATTAATTTAATTCTTTCTTGAGGTTCATGTTCACTTAAAAATAATTTCCACAATTGATTCCATTCATCAACACTTCCACTTGCCATTCCTAAAAATTAATTTATTAATTAATTTAAACACACCTTATTAATGGCGGCAAATTGACAATTGGCCTGAGAAAATTTGGCTTAATTTAATTAATGAACCATAGAAAAAATGTCATCATTATATAAAAATTAGCCCAGAAATTGCATTATTGTGGCCTACCAACCTAGAAAATTCCAGGTAATCTATTGCCCAATTCACATTTTAATTAAAAAATTACCATAGTAATATACTATTCTTCTGACATCTGGATCTGGTTTAATCTTATCCTTCAAATATTTTTTAAATAATTCTAAAGCTTTTGCCTGAAAACTTGGTAAACCAACCAAACACCCTAAATTTAAAATAACTCCTCGTATTTTGCGTTGCAAAAAATTCCTGTCATTTGAATCTATCCAAAAATCTTGACTAAGTTGTCCTATTAAATTTTGAATATATTTCTAAGAAAAGTAAAAAATTTTAAATTACGTACATTTTCATAAAGGTTGTAGCTATCATGCATTTCCTTACATCTAAATTGTAATGAGCAGGTCGATAGTATAAATTTATCCTTAAGTTAATCAAACTAGATGCAGCAACATACCATGGAGCATAATGATTTTCAGTAACTAAGTACTTTGTTATATTCAAAGCAACACTGTATGGTAAATGACTTGCTTCAGCTAAACTAAAAGCATCATGAATAAGATTTGATCTATCAGCAGCATTTAGTGCCTATATTAAAAATTATCATAATATTAATATTTTTTTTTCAAATAATTTAATGATTTAAATATTACATTAATATTTTTTTCTAATAAATTACTTAATAATGACCAATCACTCTCAGAGTAATTCACCATGAAATATCCAATTTGTCTATGATTGAATTTTATCCAATCAAAATCTCCAGGAATGTCCACAGTAACTATTTATAAAAATTACATTAATACATTTAATTACAATTTAAAAAACAAGATTCTATAGATTTTAAATAATTACTTGAATTTTGATCTTTATGTAACCAAATTTCATGGATGCTATTATCATTTGATGTGATATATGTAATTGGAATTTCCCATTTATACTTGTAAGGAGATGACTCTAGAGAATAATTAGCATTTGAATCAGCTAAAAATCTTTGTTGACTTAGTGTTATTTTTGAACCATTTCTTTTAATTGTTACAACAGGAAAACCTGCTTGGCGAGTCCAAGTATCCATCACCTAATAATTTAGATTATTACTATTACTTGATGTCTATTAAGAGAATTTTATATAATAAATGATTAGTATAATTATACAACAAATTAACAAACCTATATGGTTATAGTTTTGTAAAAATTAACTTGTATAGTAATAATTTAAATAATGTAATTTCAATGGTAGTGTCTATGTTTAGTTTACATGTAAGAAATTGACTTAATAGCCAAATGTATAATAGGGATATTGACACCATAGTTAATGATACAGGTATTATAATAAAAGAAACAGTGCGGATGAGTGTTCGAGAATTTAAATCCAAACACAGGATGAAAGAACAAGAGTATTGGATGGGTCTTAATTCTTTAAAGAAACTTAAGATTGGCTTCAACTTTTTTGTTTGCTAAGATATCTAGACTTAATGAACAAAGATTTGGTTTATCATACATTTTTTTTAGAAAATTAAACATGATAAGAAGCTAATTGGCTATTTTTTCATATAAAAACTTGCATCAATTAAATCATCAATTTAAATTGTTCTTTGATATTTATTGATTACCTTTTTTACATCAACAGAATTTTGAGCCGCTGCTTGTAATTCTGCCCATAAATCATCCGTTTCAGCATTACTGAATTCATTTCTTTTAAGATATGCACTAACACCAGCTTGAAATACATTATTGCCAAGAATTCCTTCCAACATGCGTATAACAGAAGAACCCTTAAAATAATTTTAGTTCTATACTATAAATTATTAAGCAAAAAATAAAAACAATATGAACATTTAAAAATTAATTTCATTTGTTTAATGCACTGAATAATTTCACTGAACTCTACGATGATTTGGAAACGTAGACATAAAACTGAAGACATAGATATATTTGTAAATATTCTAAATAATACTACAAGCCATGAAAGTTTTAGCACGTTCATATCAAAATTTTAGCTTACTTTATCATATGAAATTCGATCAAAAATTTCAGTAATTTGGTCTGGATGTGAAACATCTTGAACGATAGCATGTGAGCTTATTTTATCATCCAATGACTGTACAGATTGCAAACTATGTACTAGAAAAATTGTGTCCTGAAAATAAAGTATAATTGAAAACAACATTTAGTGAGTATGACAGAAAAGATATAGAATCTATTAATAGCAATTCATATTGAAAGGGATAATAATTTGTCAGAGACATATAAAAAATATGGAAAATTTTAAAACAGAAATAAGTTGTCCAGAAAGACAAGACAGCCTTATCACTTAACTTAAGCTTCATTAAAAATAGAGAAATTAAAACTCTAAACTTAAAGTTATAAATATATATACATATATATATTTAATTATATAATAATATAGGGGCATGGTGTTACATGATAGTAACATTAGTTGTTAACAAAACTCTAGTGTTAAGTCGCATCTATCACCGTAGGTGAACAGATGGATGACTATACATACGCTTTTACGGTGGCGAAAAAAAAAACCATGTTCCTGTGCAGTAGGCACTTATAAATGTCTCAGGATATACTAGTCCAAATGATATTAACTAACCTAACGGTTGTAAAAAAAAAAAAAAATAAATAATAATATAAATATATATTAAACTGTCTCCTAAGTCATTGTTTTTACCCAATCAATACCTCAGTGATAGCTATGGTTCTTATAATAGACTCTATTCCTAAAGGTAATTATACTTACAACATCCCAATTAGGATGAACAACATCAATTGCTTTGAATTCCATGTAGGAAGCAAATCCTTCATTAAGCCACAGATCATTCCACCATTTCATAGTAGCTAAAATGTTTTACAATAATATTTATAATTTCTTAATTTTAGTATTTAAATATTAATGTTTTAATTAAAAAGTAAAATACTTTTGACAATTACTTAACTACTTTTTAATAATCCGGTAACTGAAGTTTTATAAAATATCAATAAAAAAAATAACTAGATAAAATAACTTTACAATTAGGTTATATTATAGATAATTATTTGTTTTATTACTGAAATAAAACAAAATACATTTTCTGATATTTATCTCCTATGAAAATATTATAAATGTATAATATGTATAATAATGTTTAATACTTAGGTATACAAAATGAAACAACTTGATATGTTTAAAAAATGTAACTATTACCTTAAAAACAACAAACAAATTTAAGAAATTGGAAAAATATTTATGGTCTATTTATCTATGGTGTATTAATTTATTCAACAAAATTTAAATGCTTTTATTGTTAAAATTTCTTAGTCAAACCTTAAGCACCATAAAATGTAATTACATTAATAATATTGTATGAAATTCAAAAGTGACCATTTAAATAATTATATAAAAAAAAATTCTGAAAATGAGCAAATTATGCACAGTTGATCATTTTGTAAAATAAAACATAAAAAATAAAAAGTGTTCTTGAACACTCAAATATTTCTTTATTAAAAATTAAACTTTATTTTTATGAAGATTTTCTATTTAATAATTATAAATATATGCAGTGTTTAATATGAAGATAGAAATGAATGAGGAAGTATGTTCAGTAGACACTAGACGTATAATAAATCCATATTATGTTAAACATATGTGTATTAAATGTTATTTCTATATTCAGTGCTACTAGGATTTCTACCAAAAGTAAAAACAATTACCTAAATTTCCAAACCACATATGAGCTAATTCATGAGCAACTGTTAATGCTACTTGTTCTTGATTAGAGCTAGAGCTGACACCTTCTTTAAATAGAACACTAGTCTCTCTAAATGTTACAAGGCCCCAATGTTCCATGGCTCCAGAAACAAAATCTGGTATGGCTATAAGATCTAAACAAAATAGAAACTTTTAATTTTTCCATTTATAAATATAGAAAACATATTTTTTCACAAACCTAATTTAGGCAAAGGATATTGAATACCAAAATAATTTATATAATAATTAATTGATTTAAGACCAACATATTGAGCATATTTCATATTATCTGATTGCCCACGTCTTGCATATACAGTTAATGGAAATCCTTGATCAGTTATAACAGGTTCAAGTGACTGAAAGTCACATACAATGAAGCATGCTAGGTAAGTTGACATAGGAACTGTATTTGCAAAATGAACAGTAGTTAATTCACTGGAAGGAACACCTGGTTCTTCAAACTATTAAGAATGCATCATAAGTAATAAACTAGTACATTAATGTAATCATGGTGAGTATATGTGTATCATATTCTCATGACAAAAATAATTAAATGGCGAAGATATATATTCTTTTGTTTGAAGAAAGAAGTGAAAACTTTTCTTATTTTATCCCCTCAAGATAAAATCTTAATTGCATTATTGATCAAATAAATAGATTTTGTGTTAATATATTTAAATTAAAGTAAAAAATTTACCTCTTGGTTCATATTTGATAGAGCAATGTAATTATTACCAGTAGGGCGAACAAGGTTAATTTTGAACTTTGCTTTAAGTTGAGGTTCGTCAAAACATGGAAAAGCAAGACGAGCATATGTAGGTTCAAACTTTGAAGTTGCAATAAATTTTTGCTCATTGGTTTCAAAATCATTATATACACTGCGATAAAATCCAATTATTTTATTGGTTAAATTTCCTTCGAACTTTATTTGTAATTTATGTTCACCAGTATTCAATGATTTTTCAGGAACAACAATCCATGCTTCATGTTCAGGGTATGAAAATGCTTTAACAATATTGTTATTTAAAACTGTTTCATTGATAGTCATCCCTTTAGAATGTAATTTTATGTAATTCTGAATTTCATCAACCATTAATAAAATATCTACAGAACCCGAGAAAGTGCCTTTCTCAAGATTAGGATATAAGTTGATGATATATTGCTTAGGGTGAATATATTGAGATAGGCGATGTGTCAATTCCCATGGTTTTGAGGACATCAACTAAAACAAAAATATATATATATATATATATATGTATTTGGACTATAAAAATAGGAAAAAGCTGTACAATTATTTTGAACTCATAATTTTTCTCAGTTAAATACGTTAAATGAGTTTAGAAAAAATATATTAGTCCATTGCAAAATTTGCTTTTATACTTAGTGCTACTGACCTCCATAATTCGGCGCATATACTTTCAAAAACGGTAAATATTCAATAATTATTATAATAATAAATACTTAATATTACTAAACGGCACAACTGTATATTATTAAAATAATATGACCTCAAAAATTGTCAGTTAATAAAGTTACCGGTGGCCCATCCTATCAGTTAGATAACAAATATTCTGATTATACATTATAAAATATATGAATGATTATATTATAGCAAATTGGAATTTTTTGCTAATGATAATGATAAACTTTAAGTGTCTTCAAAACAAAACAATTAGATGCTTTATAAATCAAGTACCTTTTAGGGTCTCCTGGCCCGTCTGTCCTTGAATAGAAGATAAACATTTGTGTAATACCCACCAGTAGCGTATCCAAGATTTTTCAATGAGAAGTCTAATACACAAATAAAATTTTAGTGACTTTTTTAAGATGATTTTTTTTTTAAAGTATTAGTTTAGTATGAACAATGGAGGAGCTAAGTCTTTTTAGCCCTTTGGATATGCCATTAATACCTACTAAACACTAAAAGACGTATAATTAGATTATATAAAAATTTAGGAAAAATGACTATAGATTCAAGAATTTACCTAGTGTAAATAAAACTATGTTTTCAAAAATGTTATTGAAAAAATTATCTTAAATTCATTTATGAATTAGTTCTTTATTTCATGAATATCACAGGGGAATTTTGAAAAAAAAAATCTAAAACCAAATTTAACTTTACTTTTTCTATTATATTTTATATAACTTTCCTGAATTTAGAATGGACTAATTTTATTTTTGAAGGAGCTTAGCTCCCAAGCTTTTTTTTCAAACTTTGCACACGAAGATTAAATGTTCAGTTTATACGCAACTTAAATTTTAAGAAAAATAAAAAAACCAAGCACAGTGAGGACGTGGCATAGTTGGACCAGTATAGATTTAATCTGACAGTGATTAAAATCACTATCATAAGAAACGCTTCGATGCAAATCTGTAGATAGTGTTTGATTCTAAAAAATTGGTGGATAATTACAAAAGCAACATCAACTTCTATTTCCTTAATTATAACTATATTAGTAATTCTTAGATTCAAAAATATAATATATATATATCAGTGTTGGGAAAGTTCCTTTTTAAATGGAATTCGTTCCGTTCCCCGTTCATTTTCTAAAATATGAACTCGTTCCAGATCCTAATTCTTTATATTAAGAAGGAACTTGTTCCAGATCCAGTTCCTCCAAAATAAGAACTCGTTCCACTCTTCGTTCCTTTTATAAGTTATTTAAAAAATTGTGGCAATGAGATCATGATAACGGTCATCAATGATTTTCATCAGCAGTCGAATACAAAACAAATTTGTAGTATTCCTTATCTAAAAGTATTCGAAAATTATATTTATAAGCAGGTAGTAAATGCTAACGACTTGTGTCAACGCGACCAATGTCTATTGTCTACATATAAGTTAGAAATAATAAATCAGAAAACCCAAAACTTTAACATAAATTAGTTAACAAGAAACGACGATAATATTCGGTGCATTATTTAATATATGTACACATATATTAAATATTTACTGTATACCTACATGTGATAATAACTCTATCTATAATCAATTGATTCATTTAAACAGCCTACGATCTCGGCTGGGTATATAGGGGACTTCCATTGTCAAAAGTCAACTAAAAATACCATAATATTTTAATGTCTAGATACGAAGAAAACTACACTAAAACATGTTTATAAAAAATTTTAGGAACTGTAATTTCCGTTCACGTTCCTTAAAAAATGGAATTTGTTCATTTTCCTCGTTCCTTTATTTTAAAAGGAAGCAGTTCCTAGCATCGTTCCTTCAAAAAGAACTCGTTCCAGGAATCCGTTCCTTTTGGAACTAGTTCCTTCTCAACACTGATATATATATATATTTTTTTTTTTTAATTATATATTATATAATTTTTATAATTAATTGTTTTAAAAATTATTATTGATTTTTATTTTTAATATGTTAAAAGTAATTATTTTAAACCTATTTTTTTTGTGAAAGTGTATAATAAAAAAAGAAAAAATGAATTTTTTTTAGCTCAATTTGCAAGTTTGAAATTGACATCATTAAATAGTAATAATTGGTATTGTTAAGATTAATGCGGAATCAACAAATTTTATAATTACTATTCACGGTAAATTTATCAGAAAAGCTCTATTCTTTTGAATTTTTATCGTAATAGATCCTTAAATAGATATCATAGTAATCATTTCTAATTAACTTTTGGTGTTTAAAAAGATTTTACAATTGAAATATGCAGAACTGAATTAATTTTAATAATTTACTTTAACTAAAAAAACCAATAAAATAATAATATTAAAAAGATCTACTCAATTGAGTGTATTATAAAATTTGATTATAATTGTAAAAATCCATTGTTAAATTAAGGTGAAACTAAAAATATTTTTTTTTAGATTTATTATTTATATAACATGTTTCAAAAAAATTTGGAATGTTATAGACTGGTAGTAGCACACACAAATAGAATTAAAAAACCCAGCACAGGGGGGTCGCGGCACAGTGGTGACGTGGCATAGTTGGATCAAGTATAATGATATCTGACAGTGATTAAAATCACTATCAAAAAAAAAACACTTCGATGCAAATCTTTAGATACTGTTTAATTTTAAAAAATTGGTGGACTATTCCAAAAGCTACATGATCTGCTAGTTCATTATTAATATCCTAATTAAGATAAAGTATGTCGAATGAAAAAGGGATTATTAAAAAATATTATTTCTCATAAAAAAATAATGTTGATCCATACACTTTTCAATATGTCATAGCATTATAAAGTTAAAAATGTAAAAAATAAAATCGAGAATTTTCACACAATAATAGCATTTGGTAGCCATTTTCACCGTGAATATAAAATAAAGTCCGAAATTTTTTTTTACCATAATAAAGTATATTACATTAACTTTAATTTAAGATATATATAAAAGTGTCAGACTAAGTTGAAAAAGTTAATTTTTTTTGAAAAAGTTGTCATTTTAAATCCCCCCTTGTGGGCAGGTTAAGGGTTAAATTTATGAAAAAATTATACCAAACGAAAGGTATTGATATTATGCATCTATATAAAAAA